GATCACAGTCTGGACAACCAATATGCACTTTCAACAGCCCGTGGATCCATGTCTATCATCCCGACCACATGATTAACAGGGAATGGTTCAATCATAACAGCTGCTGGCTCTTCCATCTGAATGTCCCCGCTATCAATCATCTTTTGTATGATATTTCGGAACACAACACAATGATTTAGTGCCATGTGTCATAGACATATGGTACTTACAATAAGTCTTGCCTTCCAAGTCAGTAGGTTTTGGCTGTCTCTATCCCTTCCGGTATGTTACATGGCCATTCTTCAACATATCCTCAAAGATTGCTTCTTGCTGGGTGATATCAAATGAATATGTTCGTCCTAAATGATTAGGATCAGCTCTCGGCTTTGCTCCTGCACCGGTCCCTGGCCCAGGCAGTACACCATAGGCTTGTGGGGTACTTGGCTTCTTCAAAGCGCTACACTTGTAACCTTTCTTATTCACTATCTCTACCGCGTTAATATCCTCAAATTCATCCTCCTCTTCCACAGTAAAAACACTAAGCCTGATTCACTGTCGGTTGATTAGGAGGGTTGAACCACTGTCGTCCGCGATTCTTGCGGCTTTCTGCCTCTTCCGCGACAACCTTGTCCAATTGGCAAACCGCCTCAGATAATTCCCCTAAGCTTGTGAAGGTTTTGCCTGTCAATCCATATTTTAACTTAAAATTTGTCAACCCTGCAATAGCCATGGTGATTATAGTCTGTTCTGGATACTCTCCTGGTATTGTAACCTTCATCTGCCTAAACCTCAGCAAATATTGCTCTCCAGTTTCAGCAGGTTTTTGCTTAACCTTATGTAAATCAACAGTGGTACGTTCCGGTCTACCCACATAGAAATTATGTAGGAACAGCTCCTTCTGAATTTCCCAACTAGTCACTGATCCCGGTCTGAGCGTCCGATACCACTCTAATGCGGTTCCTGTCAATGACTGTTGAAATAACCTTAATAAGTGAAATTCATTATTCGCCACCTACCCACATTCTAACTCGTAAGTCCAGATATGGTGTTCCGGTCTTGCATTATCATCGCCTGACAACTTGGTGAAAGTTGGCATCTTAAAATTACGAGGAAAAGGCTCTAGGTCTACCAAACTGGCGTACGGTTTGCCAGGTACTTCTGGTACCTTAACACCTAAGTCTTTCCTTAATTCGGCCATCATTCGGCATAACTCAATTTGATCGACAGTTAACGTCGGGTGCGCATTGATCTGCGGTACTGGTCCTGCACCCACGTTTTGTTGTCTCACATTAGTCATCTGTCCTTGACCCATCGGTGCCTGAGCGGTCAAATTGTGATGCATCACCGTTTGGTTTATTACAGGCTCTTGGTACTGACCGGGTTCACCTACGGACGGCCCTTGAGGCGCTGGTGGCGTTTCTGCCAACTGGTTTGGTGTGCCGACTGGCGGATTAATCACTGGAACCAACTGCGGATAATGATTGGGCACTTGTATCACCTGAAAGTATTGAAGTTGTACCTGCTGGTTAACCATTGTCACGTACCGAGACTGACCCCTGATCGGCCCTTGATTTTGATTCCTTGGAACAGCGTTCTGAACTGTGTTGGAGCCTGCTACTGTTGTCCTGGCGGCGGCTTCCCGATTCTTGTTTTGTTCATGCTCCAAATTGGTCCACAATCGATTTTCTAGCACCTCTTCCCTAGTAGGATGGGGCGGCAAAGATGACCTTCCTAACAAAGCCAACAACCTATGTCCGGCAGCCACCGATTGCTGATCTGTCGTTTGTGCAGTTTGCTGGTGGGCCGTCACTAATCCTGTTGTCGGTGCAGCAGTTGCTGTCGTGGGCAAAGCCGCGGGAGGCACTGCTCCTTTAAGAATTTTGCATGGAGTCATCGGCCCGTAACTTCCGTTGGGCAATCGATCTTAAATCCATACTGTTTTCTCTGTGCCTTCCTGCTGATTGCTTCCACCAACTCTTGAGGGTCCTGCGAGGCTAGGATCTAAAGCCACCGCTTTCGTAGCTATCACTGCTGAAAACGGCTGATATTGATCAGAAATCGGCGGAGCTATCCTACCATCGAACGTGAAATTCCCATCGAGAGTTCTTTTAAGTAATGAGTTCTAAGTGATATACTGAGAATGACACTGAAGTAGCTCAGCAATGATTAAATACTAGGATAAGCTCTGTTAGATGTAGATAAGTGCTCTTAGTTCTAAATCTGTTGTATCTTCAAGTTATCACTTGAGAACATGGATATGCGTTGAAGTTGGTCTACCTAACATGTGAAGTTGGTGCAATGCATTCTCAGCAATAAAAGTTACTGTTCTCCTTCCATCCCCAATTTATTTGTGAATATTTCTGTGTCTGAATATGGTAAAGATTTTGATCATTGCAAATTAGCTATTTTTTTGTCTATTAACTTTGTTTGGCTCGGTAAGATAATCACTTTCAACTGTTAAATTTCAAATTTGAAGCTAGAGTGAGATTGTAGTTTTTTGGACCATCGATTTTTTTAGGGATGGGAGGGTTGAGTGGGATGGTCGATCCAAAAAAAAAAAGGTGGTTTGTTTATTTTTAAATCTACTCTGAGCTTAGAACCAGGTCTCTGATTTACTTTGACTTTTAATGCTTGCTTGACTCAAATGTTGATTTTTTGTGGGGTGATATAGTTGTGGAAGTAGCTGAGTATTTTTATCACTAAAATATTTGCACTCTTCTATGCTTGGAGTAAGTCAGTTAAACTTTGTGACAGATTTTTTTTAGTTATTATAACAAGCAGTACAAAACCCTTAGCCTCGCCGAGAGATCAAGGAATTTTAGACTTCTTTTCTCATTTATTGATTGAGCATACTGATATCCAGTTGTAAGCTCAGAGCTGTGATTACAATTGCATTGCGTAATTATTGTGCTACACTCTCAGCTGTGAGGTGAGATTTCTCTGATGGTGAACAAGGCTTATGTTTCTTTTTTTTTTTTTTGGTCCGATGTCGTTTTTTAAAATGGATTGGATGCCATCACCTAGAAACGTAGTTGTTTTTCATTTTAGTTGCTTCTTAGACTTCATCGTTGTATATGTTAGATTAATGGATGATGATTTGAACCCCCCAATTGGAGTTAAGTGTGATGAAACAATTCATCAATTTATTTGTCAAGTTCAACAGAGTATTATAAAGTGTGAATGTAACTTTCATTGGGTTTATTTGTCGAGCTCTCTTAAAGAACAATGTTATTTGTAGAATGGTGCAGTTGCTTCATTCAGGAAGACAGCTGAGCTGCCCAAAATGCTCATTTGGATTGCAGCTCTGTCTGTATGATTAATTGTAATAGTATTGGGCAGGTTTTGAATGGGTTCTTATTTTTGTTATTGTTATGATAAAGCGGTATTTTTTTATTTTTTTTTGAAAAGGTGATAAAGCGGTATGTAATTTACAACACAAATCTTGTTCTAGGACTGAATTTATGGCATATTTCTTGGAAACTGATAATCTTGAATAGAATTTGCACAGATCTTTTCTGGGACGTATATTTTTTAGCTAGTATTCAACAGTTGTAATTTAGCTACACAATTGTAATTTAGCTAGTATTCAACAGTTTATAGCTAGCATTTATTCTTAATATTATGCTTTAATTTAATCATAATGGTTTTAAAATTATACTCTAATTTTGATTTATGTTGGAAGATAAAGTGTGGAAAAGAAAATTTGAAACAAGACCATCGCGAATAATAAATCAAAAATTTAGGAAAGAAAAGTGAAAGAAAATGAAAATGACAATTTGTGTAAAAATAATTTTTTTAAAAAAAAAAGTTCACAAATTATTTTGAAGAAAAAGTAATTTTGAAAAACACATAGTCCAAATGGCTTTTTAATATTTTTAATTACGAAAAGGGTTTTGAAAAATTCTTGTCTAAATGCATTATTTTTTAAAAAATATTTTTCTAAGTTTTGGTTTAAACAGACTTTTTCTAAACAATTTTTCAAAATTCTTGTCCAAATGGGGCCTAATGTTTCATTTATTTAGTAATTTGTGTTGATTAGAGTAATTGATGGACTCTTGCATCCTTGATTGACGACGTGTTTTTTCACCCTTGTTGTGGAAGCATGGCAATTTAGTGAGTAAGGATTGGTTAAAAAAACTTTGATTGCATTTGCTACGCTGGAGACATCTGAAAAGTGTAATGACCAATGTCCAGAAACTAGAATGGTTCGTAAATGAGCTTTGACGGGTGGCTTTGCAAGTGAGCTTTGTGATGATGACTTTGTTGGATTTCCTTATAGAGAGACTTCTATTCCAATTGAAATTGTCCACTATTCAGAGCATCTCACACTTAACACCTAGCCACTTTAACTAATTTAGCATTTTCTACTCATGTTCTACAGGTTCTTGCCATACATAGGTTATGTCTGAGAAGTCTATCATCAAGGTATGTTTTATTCTTGAGCTTGGAGTTTTAGAATTAAACAGTAAAAGTTGTATAAGTTTGCTGGTTTTTTTAAGTAGTGGAGTCTTTACACAAGTAAAAATGGCAATGAAGTGTGTTGATTGGATCCTTTTCTCATGCAGTATGTATTGATAGGTATACTTGGGACTGCTGGTCATTACTTCAAAGGAATAGGTAGTCTATAATGCTGAAGAATCTTGTGAACAAGGCAATTTGTGCAATGGAATTTCCACATAAATACAAATGTTTCCTCTTTCTCAGTAGAATTGAAGGTCATGGTTACAGTACTTTAATCAACTGAACTTAGCGAGCTATTGTGCCAAATTAGCTACTTGACTTTAGAACTGTAGGATATGAATATCATGTGGTATAAACTATAAAGAATCATTGCTATTTTGACAGTAGAAGCCGCAGTCAGAAATTTCTTTCCATTCACAAAAGATTTGCGAATTGTCGGTTATTTTCTTTTCTTGATTTTTATGTTTTGATTCAATTTCACTACTGTACCAAAAGAAGGAAAAAAAAAAAACAAACTTAAAATCGATTTCAAACACTAAAAATATAAATTGAACCAAAGTCCCAAATTGACAGAGAAAGTTGCAGTAACCAAAGGGAAAACAGAGGGGAGGAGGAGAAAACACTATTTTGTTTCAAGATTTTGGATCACTACACTTTCAACTTCCATTAAAAAGAAAACAATAGGTAGCGTTATCGAATCTACAGGATCAGATCATAAAAGACGAATTGCAGTTTCGGATGGCATGTAAAATGTATCATCATGACCATCCAGAAAGCCCACGAGCATGTTACCATTAATCAACTAAATCAGTCACTCAACAAAAGCATTCGATAGTTAGGGACAGCAATTCATAAAAATACAGCACTTCAACAATTTACAACATGATGTTTTAACTAAAGGCTCAGAAGATACAATCAATACGATCAGATTCAGAGAAGTCTCATGTTAGGAGGATAAGGAGTTCAACGTGATTTGATCACCAAACACATCGGTAAGTAACCCGTGTTTCAGTTGCTTCACTGCTGTAGGTGATCTTCACCACCTGACCCTTCTGGAGTCCATAATACTGCGCAATTGCATCTTTTTGCAACATCCGAGGTAGCTGAAATTAAGTTCAACAGGTAAGTCAAGCAAAAGACTAGTACATATGTAAAAACTGCTCAGATGATATTTCAAGAACAAAACTCTAAGTTATGTACCCACTTTCAAGTAGAAACCAGGGATAAATATTAGATGTATGGACATGCTGTTGAAGACAAGGATTATTCTTCAAATAAAAGTGCAAAAACAAAACATGCATTTACGATAGGGACCGAAAACAATCAAGAGCATCTGAAATGACAAACGACAATAGACAAGAGACCAATGAATCAAATCAATTGATAATCTCAATACTGTCCACGAAGATGCTCTTGGGAGATTAGCCTCAGACTCGATGGAACTTATTTGTAAAAGAATAATGGTACCATCAGAGACTAGAGCATAAAAGAAGTATCTTATTATGACTTAATATGCTAAAGAAAGGTTGAAAGAAAAAACTTAAGGTTAAAACTTCCGAACACTGACAACTAGAACCTGGAAGCACCAATTTCTGATTCATAAAAGGAGGTGAAATATGAATCTATTTGTATAAAATGAATATGGTTGTACATGAATTTTGTCCACTAGGTATACATGTCATTTTCAATAAACAAAGGTGAACTTCACTTGAGTTTGTGCTTCAGAGAAGACCAAACCTGTTTTTCCTCAACGTTGTACTTCTCCAGAAGATTTTGTTTCTCTGCAGGAGTTAGAAGTTGATGCTTAGGCTTCAAGATATGTTTGGTGATGTTAACTAGCAAGTCTGTGATCTGAGGCAAAAAACCATGTGAGACCATTAGATGGAGTGTTTAACAAAACGAAACAATTTGCATGAGAAGCTTCAGTTTTGAGGAAGGCTAAAGAAATAAATCAAGCACAACTAAAGTTTATTTTCCTTTCTTTCATCCAAGCACTTTCAACGGTCTCCACAATAGAAGCTGAAAGGCTTAGGCGAGGCTAAAAATAAAGAAGTAATGAAGAAGAAATGTATCAAGAGAATAGGAGACCACAAAAATCAGTTGGAGTAAAGGATTAAATCAACTCTTTCTTTCTATGTAATGTAAACACCCAAAATTCACTCTGTTCAAGCGTAATTTATAGACATGCAATGTATCACAAAAGCGCCAATGATCACCATTAATCTGCTTGTACGACTATAACACTATAGTCAAGAGAGACATAGTTAGCAATATCTCCACTGCAAATGCGACTTAAGAAAGATGGAGAACGTAAAAGTGCTTTTCCATTTGACTATTCAACTCCCATGTAACAAAATTAGCCTACTCATGGATTATAAAAGAACCACTGAGAACACAATGACTAACTTCTAACTAGAATGCATATCAGGTAAGAAAGCAAAGCACATAGTGGTCACCAAGATAGATCACTATTATCAAGTACCAGTAAAGGATGTGTGCTCCTGGATAACCCACTTGATTCTATGGGCAAATATTTAAGATAGCACAAGTCTGCTTAATAAAGTTAGAATGGATATGTCACTTGAACCCCAAAAAGAAGGAGGTATGCTCATGCTATGATTTATTTTTTGTGCCAATTTTGAAGACATACATCGAAGTGCTATGATATAGAGAAATTCAAGCAAACCAAGGTAATATCAGACTACGAGAAGTAAAACCAGCCTCAATTCCATTGACCATGAAATATAACCGTGAGATGAAAGACTGCACTGGTCAATTGTTGCAAGAAGTTTCAACTCCTGGGATATTCCGTGGTGTTGGTAAGGATTCAGAGGATGCAAGAAGTTACATGACTCTTTCTGTTCCTACATTAAAAAAAGCTCTGTCCTGGTGCTACCAAGTTTCTAAATATGACGAGAGAACCTTTTAAACAGATAATGGCATGACATGCTGTGAGCTCCCCTCATTTGAACTCAAAGTGAGCTAAGAGGAAAAATTATGTTAATGTGGCACAATGCTGATTTGAACTAAACAGGCAGAATGATTAACAAATATTCTAATCATGCAAATGACGTGGTTTTCTAAAAAGAAGCACAGAAAATAATAATTAACGGAGTGCCTAATAGCAGAAATTATAGCTCCCAAGATAGAGACCCAAAACAAAAGGGTAAACAACTAACCCGAAAAACCTCAACTTTGAAGGGAAAGAGTTCCAAAGCTTTTGTGGCCTGGGAAGTTGGTTGTTTCTGCACAATTAGCATCAGCCGACTTAAAGCGCCCTTGTTCATGATATCACTCCCAATCTCACGTACAGTATTTACTTTCACAGCCCCAGGCCCAGAGAAAATCACCATAATCTGCATGACAATGTTAAAATACCTCATTAGGACTTAAGATTGATATTCAAAACTTGATATAAAATCAATTACAGTAAAACTGACCTGTAACAAATATAAGCAGAGCAGATGACAAAAATTAAAAGAATTCTTATTTAAGAGCTTATTTAAGAATAGTTGGCAAGTAGAGCAAAGAAAAATAATCACTAACCCTCCTTCATTCCTGACCTATGACATTTTATATGAGGGGACAAGAAAGGGGGGTGTGTGTGTGTGTGTGTGTGTGTGTGTGAGAGAGAGAGAGAGAGAGAGAGAGAGAGAGAGAGAGAGAGAGAGAGAGAGAGAGACTATACTGGTTGAGTTTTAATTCTCAGGTGACTGAGAATTGTAAAAGGCTTTGCAGGAAAAACACAGAAATGTTGACAAGAAAAGAAATTAACAAGAGCCACAACAACCGCCACTACTCCATTTGAACCCATAGAGAAATCAGCCCAGAGAACGGACACCCAATGGCAGAAAGTGCATTCCTTGTCTTTTGCATATTTTACCATGTATTTTCATGAAAGCTCATATATATCCAGCCTTAGTGCCTATCAGCAATAAATTCCTAAAATAAAATAACTGTTATTTGAAAAAATATGGCAAGTATTGAACAAGTGTCAGAGTGCAGTATGCAAGCCATGTAAAAATTAATCCTCGCCATAGGCATATTTATCCTTACTCTATTGACATAAATGCAGTAGCCATGTACAGGCAGTTCAAACTGTAGATTGTCAATTCTTATGAGATTTAAAATTCAGGAATAAGGCCATAAAAACTTCCTAGAAGCATGAAACTTTTGGAGAGCAAGAAATAATAGAAGGAAAAGATGCAGACATACCACCATCACCCAAAATTACAACAAGCTAAAAGAACATTCCAAAGGAAAAAAGATGAAAGCAAATACATCTCCTCTGAGAAAATGTGAATCAAAAGAAAGGTCTACATCTTCTACAGATGTTTGAGATATGACACCTATATGCTACAAGAGAATCCTGAAATAGAGTCCCCAGCACCTTTTTCTCTTCCCCAGCAGATTAGTTCTTCTTGTTTGCTACCCATTAACCATTTTCCATCCCCAGTTACATCAGTCTTGAATTCATCTAACCCATGTCTATCTAGGTGTTTTGCATCCATGCTTATGAATATCCAGTCCTCTCTAGATGGGGGGGAAAAAAAAAAAGAAGTTACCGAGGCTAGCAGTTACATATGTAAGTTTCAAATTGAAGTGTACCGTCAGAGCTTGAAATGAGAACTTTCAGAGAGAAATGCATTAAACAATTCCTACTGCTTCTCTTCATAGGGAACAAAAAGAAGATCCCACAAAAAGTGCTGCCAATGGAAGAACAATGAATGAAGGGGAGGAACTGGAAAGCATGTTGCCTGCATAGGGTCAGGCTATAAAAGCATCTCATTGCATGATTTATTAGGATCCTTATCTGACTACTACTAACACCCTACAAAATAAAGCAGTCCTGGAAGTTCCGTTTTTAGAATAATATGGGGCAAAAAGTGCAAAGGTTATAGTTCTACAGGTAATTAGATATTCAGAAAGGAGCTTATATTCTGCTTTTCCCAGTTTTAGTCTTTAATACTGCCTCTTCTGATCAAATGTCGTCAAAACAAATGAAAGAACTTCCAAAATAAGTGTTGTTCCCAATCATCAATAAAAGTTTTGCCACAGTTTCTCAAGATTCCCCCTGGAAGAAATAGACATAGATACATGTGTTCCTCATTCCACGAACTCCTGCAACAGCAGCAGTCACGGCGGTGGGCAGCACAAGAGTCCAAGCAGTCAGTCATGGGAATGGGCAAGGCCTTATTTTATCAAGACCCCGTGAATTGCTTCTTATCGTAGAACAGCCAATAAAAAGCGAACTTTACAGAGCCCAAACTAATGAGAGTAGTCAGCAGACACTAATACAACTGCCGTACTTTTCTACGTCTTCAATGTTTAAATTTTAGATCTTTAAAGACCACAACTATGCAGATAGCATTATCCTCCTTCCTCCAAAACATTATTCGCTCACGCCTAAAAAAAAGGCTGATGTTTTGGAGTGTACATATTCATTTCATTCTTTTCCAGTTCAATGACTAGACAATCCAGCTTAGCAAACTAGATACAACTGATAGCTTGCCGACTCTTAAAGAATACATCCGGGTTAGATAAAGGTGAAGCACTTTTAAGAATAAGTTTTTGGGTGTCAGGTAGCAGAATCAATAGAAGCAACAAGGAGAGGCAACCAAGTAAATAATAAAGTTTAATAGCCACACAAGAAACTGCTAAGTAAAAGCAGTGGGAAAAAGCATATAATGATGGGAATACAATGAAGACAAAGATTGAAAAGGGCTCGTACAAGGGAGGTACAACTATCTATCGTTAATTATAGAATTCCATGTAGTTCAATCTCTCAGTTAATGCTTTTGTAAAATGCAATTGTTTTTTTCCTTTTGTCTTCCTGATTACACTAAAGAAAATCAAAAGCCTGAAAACCAAAACTTCCCGCTCACAATTGCAATTGGTTCAGAGCAATATGATTACATGCTCTAAAATAAAAAGAAAAACAAGACAGTAGCCAATATGAGACTTAGATAACAACCTTCTGATTTGGATCATCCTTGTGAGAAGCAGAGATCCTCAGTCGACTAACATCTGGATCTTCTCCATAGTAATCCCGGAACCCTTGAAGCGAGAGTTCAATCTCTGCATCAGGTATCGCGTAGCCACGATCCCTAAGCATCTCCAGCACAGTCCTGCGTGACAGGTAGTACCTGTGGGACTCTAGGCTGCCCGTGTCAATAAAACTACTCAGGCAACTGGGATAACTGCTACTCCCAATGTCCATCTGCATTTCCCCATCAATGTCCATAGCTTAATCCCTTCACTTTCTAGCCCTGCAGATTAAGAACTGTCAAAGCGAATCTAGTACGAATTTAGAAACTCAACAACTAGAAAAGAATTTCCCTATCACTTAATGTCCTTAGACCTACCCAATTCAACTCTTCTAGAAGAAATTTATGTAACAAAAAATCTCAGGTTAAGCCTTGCCCCAATTATAGAGAAAACAACAGAAGCCAAATGTGTCAAAAAAAACATTAAAAAAAAAATACCACTAAAAGGCATCAAACGCGCATCCCTTTGCATCAAAAGGTAAGAGCTTTATCCATATCATATCCAAGAAACAGAATTTTTGAAAAGGGAAACACATTTGTCAGACAGTAAAACGAGAGAAACAACACCATAAAGCAAAATTGACCGAGAGAAAATCAAAATGCAGAAACCAAAACAAGCCCCCAACAAATTCATCATACCGCTATAATCTTTAAGGGTTACCCGATCATCAAAACAAGCAAGAATTTTACCAGTAAAATCAGGGTTAGGAAATCGAATATCTCGCCTATGTGCGTTCAACGGAATGTGAAAAAACGGAGAACACGGTTTTTCATATCATTATGCATTAACCATGTACCAACGATTCCTTATCGAAAGGACTCAAAATAAAGAAGAAAAGTTGAGAAGAGGTAGCTTGCCTGCGCCGGTGATTTTGCAGTACCGAAAGCTGGGGAAATTGGTACGGCCTACTGACAGAGTTTTTAGAGCAGCACTGAACTCCACCAAATGTATGTAGAAAATTAGTACATTTTAAAGTCCTGTAATTTTAAAGAAATTTTAATTTAGAACTTATACTTTTCATAAACACGACTCACGTCCCTATTGTGATATTTTTTGTGTTGATCAAATGCAAGTCTAAACAGGAACTATTTAGTCACACTGATGCAAATACGTACAACAGATGCAGAGAATAATGTTTCTTCATTTCAAGAATAATGTTTCATTATGTGTTTTTCATTCCAAAAATAAAAATTTATTGTGAATTTTAAAATATAACCTAACAAAATCGGATTTGAATGGATAAAAAATACAAGATCATCTTCGAAAAATACTAAACAACAAAATTAACTATTCCATTGTAAGCACCTTCAATGTCATGGTAGTTTTACTTTAAACTATTTTCTAAGTAAACAGATGGTTAAAATATATTGCATCCTTCGTTTTGATCTAGCTAATAGGGCTTGTTCTGGTTCTTAAACAAATTGATAGAACCAAATTAACAATCCAATTTTCTTTTTCCCCCTAACGTTCCCTCATAACAATGGTGTACTGACTACTGAGGATAGTGATTTGTTATTGAAAATTGTTGAACCAATATAGTAACTGAAATTACTGAAGGCAAAACGAATTTTGTGTTCTATGAATCTATTATTATGGTGATGACTTTCTATTATCCTCACATTAATTTCAAAAGTAACTACACACAGTTTACCTAATTCATCTCATTATTGAATCTCACTTTACATGGCATTTGATTATTGGATAAAATTTAATAAATTAAGTTAATTATTTTTTTAGTTCGATTTATAGATTTTTTAAATATTATTATATCTAAAATTTTAAAATAAATAGACCTTAAATCCAGAAAAAGTAAACCCTTAAGGATAAAATTATAATAAACGAATTGATTATAGATAGGATAAATATTAATAAGAAATATTCATATTCATATATTAATAAGTAAACCCAACAGTATTTTCATTAGTTATTTGGATGTATAAAGTAGGAAATGGTGGACCAAGCGGTGTATCTATGAGAATATCGGCGGAAAGGTCCCAACGTTTGGCTCTGTCTAGCGAATTCATCCCAAATTATTTAAATTGATCAATTACATCCCAAGGTTTTAAAAATTGAGCGTCATGGTCTCATTACCGGCTAAACTATATAATCTAACCTTTGTTTGCCGGTTTTTTCACCTGCCCTATTTTTTTATTGCCAAAAGTCATAGTGGGCCCTGCTGATTCTCATGAAAAAGAAAAGCACCCCAAAATTGGTGCCAAAAAAAAAAAAAAACAACAACTCTTACTGTAACCCACTCCAGTGATCCTTACCTTGTTAATACTTTTTTTTTTAGTTCATGAAGGGGTTACTACCCAATTAAATTGCATGCAAAACCCACTTATTTGACTACAATAATTTTTAATTGAAAACTTCGCACTTTCAATTTTAGTAATTACTCTCATTTTCTTACCAAAAAAAACAAAAAAAAAAAAATTCCTCGCGGTCTCACCGGCTCACCCAACTCCCGTATTTCTCATTCTCACTTCACTCGAATTATTACTAATCTACTGCCTGTCACCTTCAACCTCCAAAGGCCACAATAGAATGATATGCTACATCTACAACTCAATTAGTTTTTTAATGGACAAACTAAATTTTCCCCCTGAGTTTTGGCCTTTTAACAAAATACCCCTTGAATTTTGCTAATACTACAATTTTCCCTCTTGACCTGCAGTCAACTTACCGATCACCCGTTGCTTGTCGGAAAAGGGACATAGCTTGCTGATGTCACCAAAAATATCATAGAAATAGACGAAAATGCCCCACAATGTATACTATATTTTTATAATACCATATATTACCCTTTTCAATTATTTACAAAGATGGCCCTACTAACCTATTTTTCTAATATTCCTAATTGCATTCTCATCCTGAACCCACGCCACTCCCACCCCTCCCCACAACCAATCTCAATATGAAAGTCTCCCAATTTAATGGCCGGCAAAAAAAAAAAAATTTGGGTGAAGCACTTCAAATTTTTTATTTTAATTGTCGTTGAATCCGTTGTTTCGTGTGATTAAGCTGCTGGGAATTTTAATCATTCCGGCGATGTCGCCGGTGAGTAATCTGAGGTTCGAGAGTATCATATGCTGGAAATGTGGGTCGAATCAATCCTTATAATGTCCAGCAATGAGGACAATCCAGAAAGGGTGTATCATGGTTCTCCTAATCAATGATCTCTAAGATAGATTAAATTCGGGAACAACAATTAATCAACTAAGTGTCCAAAAAGAATTCTTTTTTTGGAACAAAAATTGTGCAGACTCCGTTAAATTTGAAATGAAAAACCAATTGTCCTCCGCCGCCGCACCAATTCTACAAATTGAGATTTTGAATTTGCAATATAGATTAAAAAAATTCTAATAATTTTAATGGAACCACTACAAAGATGAAAGCATCATGGTGAAACTCATCGGTAGTGGCGAAATTGTGATGGCGGTAGGAACGAATCGGCACATCTTTGATGTAGGATGGCAGTGAATCTAATCGGCATCGTTGATGACGGTGATACTGCAGAAAGAGTAGTTGGATAGGAGATGAGGAAGGGAGAAAAAAATGGATGTGATAAGGAAGAAATAGAATGGGATTAAAAGGAATGAAAAGGAGAATATATCTACATCCTACTATATTAGAAACAAAAACCTCCCTTTCAAACATCTCATATGATTGCCACGTGGCATGTAGAAAATACTAAATTGCCCTTTTGTCTAACCATAACTAAATTACTAAATCTCCCTTTGCACTTTACGTGACACGTTTTTTTTTTTAAATTTTTTCTTTATGTTTCATTCAACTAGAGTGATTTTTTAAATTGAATTGATCAATTAGGTTTTTTGTTACAAAGCTATTAAAAATCTTCAAAACTAAGTATTGATTTGGCACGACCAATGGAGAACATCAATAAATCATCTTACTAATATTTAAATATTTATTAGGATACTTTTATATTTTATCTAACATTTACTTCAACACATATATTCGATTAAGCTATTTATATTTAATAAGTAACACTTATAAAACATTTCTAAAACATACATGGCGAAATACAATTTATTTATTTTTTTTGCGAAATACAAGTATTTCTATGATCACACTTATAAAACATTTCTAAATCCTTCAAACATTTCTAAAATATATCGCTCCAAATACAAAATTTTATTTTTTTCAAATATAAACATTTCTAAGATTTACAGATAGATTGGGCCAGGATTGCGCGACCAGACATCACTAGTATATATAGAATGGAATCCCCTTTTTGTTGCACGGTTAAAGGGGGGTTCCCGGTTAAAAAAATTAACGTGGCCACTTTCTATTGGAGTGCTTCTCTTTTCTCCTTTAGCCGGCCCCGATATGAGAAACATATGCTCCCCGTTACCCACCCCTCTTTTCCTCTTTCTTTTTCCCCTTTTGACCGCTGCGTGAAGAACAAAGTGGCATAAATTCTTCATAGTGATGCCAATCGCCCCGGTTTTCTTTCTTTGATAATCAGATTTTTCTGGGATTAGGTAGTAGCTCTCTGGATTCAGAGGTTAGTGAGTTCTTGTTTCCGAAAATCATCGGATTTATTATACTTAATCTTGCATTCTACCTTTCTCCCATTTTCATTTTCTTTTTCGTTCTACTATTTATCTCTACAATTCCACTATACGCATGGGGTTCCTATTCATGGGATTCTGTTATGCTATATCTAGATAATTACATGCCTTTTTTGCATTCTTTCTTCATTTTATTTGCAAGGGGTTTGAGTTTTGTAACCCTTTTGTATAATCTGTACTCCCCACCTATGCAAACACAAGGGATCTTTGATTTGAACACCCATATTTGTTTGGAGAATGAGAGTGAATGTATATTATATCTCAGATACAAAGTGAAACTGAAAACAATTAAATAATTAAACTATATGCAATTTCCAAATTACTTTATTCTTGGTGTGTGGATTTTAAAAGGTAATTGCTATATGTTTTACCAACATTTAGGGATGTTTACTTTAGTGTATGCAGAGTGCTGATTTATTACTTACGTAAAATAGTGAAAAGAGATAATAATTCTTCATAGATGTATAGTTTGCCAGTTAAAATGAAAATTTAGTGAATGAACTTTGTTGTTTCCATTTGTTATCTAATAAAAATTAATTTCAAACACAATATACACCTGTGAAAGAATCCTACATTTTCTGAAAATTTAGTTATATGCACCTAATCAACGTTGATAAATCCGATGTATAAAAACTAAGAACGCCTCCTTTATCTCATACAATTGGTTATGTGATATTGTCTTCAGAAAGATTTTTTTTGCTGTAGGTTTTTTGCTGTCCTTGCTGATTAAAAACAGAAGAATTCACCATAACTCCATGGTCACCAAAAGGAGATACTAGGGATACTCTATTTTTCGTCTTTTAAATCATATTTCAGAAATATAACATGTATTTCTGGTTGAAAGATTGGATCTTTTTCAGCTCTGTTTCAAATTTTGAAGTGGAAATTTTTACCGCAGGGTTTTCTGTAGGTATGATGATATATATATATATATATATATATATATATATATATACTTGTTTGCTGGGAGCTTGAACAATCTAAGTGTACAAATCTGGCAGTATGGACTGTCGAAATGCAGCAACGAAGCTCTGGTTGTGATTGAAGCTTACAGGACACTTCGATGCATAAGACCTTGTCCAGCTGACCAGGCTGTGAAGGATCTTGAACTAGTAAGATGACGCATCTCTTTAACTAATTGATCTTAAAGTAGACAATGACGGTGTTTCTTTATTCAATCAGTAAGAAAAAAAAGTTTCAATTTATGAAGCTGTACTGGAAATTTGCTGTAGATAGTTTTGTGATGATTTC